TTAGCAGACATAAAAAGTTGGGTAGAGTATAACTAATCTTCTGTATTTTATGTAAACTTAATTTATCACTACAACTAGTTTTATTTCATCAATTCAAATGTGCCCCAGTACCCTAATAATAATATTTAATAAAGAATTTTTGGCTCAGTTTATTTATCTTAATTTCTAGATTTCTTTAACAGATAAAATATTATTTAAGTTCATACCTTATGCCTTAAAAGTATAATTTAATTTTTTTTTTAATGACAGCATATTTATCAAGATTAAATGTTAGAAAATTATTTAGTTATTTTCCGTTGCCTATAAAGTATTAAAATTAAATAATTTGTCTGTGTTAATCACCGATGTACAACAGGTCAAAATGATTCTGTTGTTCTTGGTCGGGGACTCTTAGCGGATACACCGACCACTTCATCTTAACGTCGTCTCGTTCCAAGCCGTATACGTTGACAGACACGTTAGGGTTTCGTCGCTCGAATATTTTAATTTGGGACACAGGTGTGGGGAACGTCAACCCCGTGAAATCATACCTGTGTTACTCGTTAAAATATTTTTGATTAACTCGCGTATTATTATTAATCCCAACGTGTCTCGCCAAAATTGCCCACTTGAAACATGACTGATCGATGTTTTGTGGGTTGATGATTGCCTTTCTATGGAAAATTTCGGGTGGGACCGGAATATATGATGAGCCGGCAAGGGGTGTATACTTGTATACGCTGAGCATGAGACCGTCGATATGCGCTAGCTTGAATCCGCTGTCCCTGCCCGAGTACACGTCTTCCTCAGCAAGCATAATCTCGAAATCGTCATTGACCGCACCTACAATGTTCGTGTCAGACAACACCCTAGCCCGTGTCTTGAAGGCACGGTCCTCGGGCGGTGCTTCCGATCGCGGTATATGATAAGAGGCCTCCAATTTGAGATTATATTTAATCGGTCGAACAGTTGCGATTTCATCGAGTTTGGTAACCAGCTCTGATTTAATAGCACGCAGAAAATCTCGATAGCTCACGAAATTTTCCACGTTTTTCCGATAAAATCAAACGGCTCCTCGCTTCAATGCGGAATCAATCTCGGTGAAATTTATCGCGTCCGGCAATTTTATACGTAACCTTTTCGATTTTACTCTACTGTTGTTAGCCCTACGTTTAACCGAATGATAGTGTGGAACAGTCGCGGAAGAGGTGGCTATGAATAAAAAAAAAAAATTTGTAAAAACAATTTGTGTGTCGAAAATATCAAAATATTTAATCAAAAAAACTTACCATGTGCAGCACCAGTAAAATGTATATCAGCCATTGTTATTCGATTTTAAATTTAAATAAAAAATATATACTAGTACTTCTATACGTTTAACAGAATATTGTTTAAGCAATTTGTTAGCGAGCCGTTATAATGCTTAATCAAAGAGTGAATAAAATCTTTATTGTCGTCTTTATAAATACGATCAGCTTTGTTATTGTATTATCCGCTGCACCAGTGATGGTGTTGGCAGTCATTAATCGCACTAGTACATCGTATATCACGAGCAAAATGACAAAGTATATCAAATGGTCTGAGAAAAAAATATTCAGGTTTCTACATGTTATACAGCACTTACATTATATTTTTATAAACGCCACCCAAGATAATTAGTTGATAAAATGAATCGTTATTTATAATAGTGTGAAAACATTCGGTCTTAAAGTGAAATGTTTATACAGATATGTCATTAGGATTAAAACAAATGCCTCTGTAAAAATTATGACCGTCTGCCGTCTCTAATGCGTTGACGGATGAAGAATGCAATCCGTCCAGTCGAAACTATTATTTAATTAAAATAATTAATTACAGTTGTTAAATACTGTAAAGATTTATAACAATGGGAAGGATACCAGTAATAATTCAAACAAAATATGTATACGATATTAATCAATAAGTATATTACTGATTATAATAATATTATAAACATTATAATATATATGTTCTAGTGATAATCGTCGCCGACGGCGGCGGCGGTAGTAGTGTTTATTTAAGAATTTGTTTTGTTATAAAAACTTGAACAGTCTTTATTATTATGTATTGTCGACAAAAAAAATACTGATTTATTATTCACTATACGAATAACGGTCAAGCTTATTAACTCGTATATTAGCAATTAATGTAATTGACGGCGACATCGCCGCCGCGTTGAGCCATCTGCTGTATTAATCTCAATTGCTATAGTATAAAAATATATAATCATCAATACAGCCATCTGGCACACAATGTTTCGAACTAATTCTTTTACAAATTAGGTAAAATTAACATTTTAAATATGGACTTTATCTTGACACGGCCACGGCGTTGTCACACGTTTGACACCCCGCGGTCGTGTCAGCTCCTTCTCAGCCACCGCTCCACTGTAAACCGGACCGTTACACACACGCTTTATCGTCGTGGTGTAAAAACCAATAAATGCCAAGCGTCGAATACCCGCCGCAATAATACGTCGAGTCAGTCATCTTCGTGATACCTATACTGTTGGTCTTTCCACCGTCCGTCAACGCAACAGAACCACCACCGCAGTTTTCCTATCATTTGTTTTTTCACAAAACGGTCAGAACCGCCTCAGTGTTATTACACCGCTGTTTTCTATCATTTGTTTAGTGTTATTATTCTTTGTATATTTGTTTTGTTTTTTCATTAAACGGTTCGACGCCATCTGGAAAACCATCCGTGTCGTCTAATTTATTTCAACACAACTCATAGCAGTCTAAATGTGTGCATTTCGCATATCAAAATAGCGGATTCGACGTTTAAAATTCATACATTTAACCGTAACCGTATAGTTTACCTGGAAAATGTATTTTTTTTTTTCATCAAAAAACCGATATTACGTATATACTATATGGCCGAGCATAATTTAGGCGCGTGACAAGTTGTGTTAGTTTACGTCAAGTTTCATCCGCCACCCCTATCGTATGAATTGGTTGGTGGAGGAGAGGTTCCTCACCTGCCTTAGGTAATTTTACGTTGGATTTACTCCCCCCCCTCTTCACCTACACACAGATGACGTGGTGGGTGGGTGAAGCGGGGGCAGAATTCCCTTTTTCACCCTACTTACAAGAATGAATTAAAACATTTATTGTTAGAAAATTCAGGTGATATGACAATCATTTGTCTATATTGTCAAAGACACGAAGATAGACTTAGAGGCAAGTGTATTGAATGGGTGTCATGTACTACATGTTGTCGCTGGATCATTATTTACTGTTTAAGTGAAACATATAAACTAAACGATTAGAGGAAAAATGACTTTTATTGCATCTTATGTGACGAGACAAAAGATAGAACAAAAACTATTCAGTAGTAAATAATATAATTGATAACAGTATTTTACACAGCTTTTAAAAAAACATAAAAGAACTACTCAACGATGATAAAATGATAATTCCTATGCATTGTTATACATAATTATTTATATTTTTGTAATTTAAATAAATTAATCAATGCTTTTAAAGACCTGAATCATCAATCCTCAAATGGAATAATTTAGATATACACCTATTATAAGTTACTAACAAAACTTATGATCGACAGTCCGCAGTCTGATATTTCTAAAATAACATATTTAACATATATAAAATAATAAATTGTTATAAAATATTTAGAAAACTAAGTGGGACGGCATTGATTGTTGTATAGAATTAAAAGGTGAGTTATACCGAATAATATCTAAAGTAAATTAGATAGAAAATTAGAAAGGAAATTTTATAAGCTTTAATTTGGTATATAATTATTGCCTGGACTCGTCTCGGAACTTTGTCAAATGTACAAAAAACCAATCGCCGGTCGGAGAATATATAGTGTTATTATAGCAAATATTGTCCAGCAATTTCTCTCATACGGATAACTTGGACACTCGAGTACCATTTTTGACTTATGCCATACGATATTAATTTTATATGCTTTTGTTTGGAATATAATTATTAAATGAATACCTTTTGGAATTTTTTCAAAAGTACACTGTAATAAAATAGATTTTTGAATCAAGTGGCGCCCTCTAGTGGTGCATATATGCGTTATATATCTGATTAGGAATTGCTAACTTCACACACATATCATAAGTTGGCCACTGATTCCGGTTGGAGTATCTGGCTATGCTGGGCACAATAAGCTTTTTGTAAGAAAAATATATCAGAATCAGTGTAACAAAAATATATTAAAAATTTTAAAAAGAGAAAATAATAAAATGTATTGGGTATAAAAATAACTAATCAATTCTTATCTGACAACTATAACATGTATTAAATATGAATTAAGGAGAACTTAAAAATTAATTTTCTACAAATACAGTCAAAATATATAAATGCAAAAATGAGCGAATACCCTTATTAAAGACATTCGCGTGGAAATTAAAAAAAAATTATTTTGGCGGGTCTATTTACAATTTCAAAAGTTAAGTCATAAATTGATGGTATTAGCAATCGTTTTTCTCAAAAACTAAGTAATTTCATTGAACATTTTTTTTTGAAAAATCGGAGCATTCAAGTAATTTTCCAAGAAAAACGTTTTTCTCCAAGTTCTATAATACAATAAGATAATAGTGACTTACAGCAGGCCCGGTCGCAAGGGGGGGGTTTTGGGGGTTCAAACCCCCCCCATTGACGAAAAAATATATATCATGTTTTTCATTTTTAATTGATTATATTAGATATTTGATTATCTTATTTGTTATAAAAATTGCAGAGGGCTGTTAGCATTGCATATTCTTTTTGGTTTACACGTTTTAATTAATTATTTATTTTATTAATAAACCGTTAAAAAATGTATTCATAAGAGCTTATTTCAGGATTTTTAAGTGCATAAGTGCACGCATAATCAGTTTTTTTAGGGGACAGAAGTCTTGTGCTCTAGTTATAAAATAATAATGCATAACATAATAGCACACTACTATTATTGTGTTACTCTCGTGTTTGGTGTTTATCGGTTTCCGTTGAGACGTTATCGACAAAATATAATGACCGCGACGGCGACGTGAAGAACACGAGTATGACACGATAACGGAAGTCACGTATTTTAAAAGATGTTCATAACCAAGTGTAAGACGTTAGTTATACAAAAACGGTGTTTGCGATATCATCGAAATGGACATTCGAAGATTTTTAAAAAAACCACGACTAGAAAAAGATGAGATAGTAAGCATATTAAAATTAATTGTAATTATTACAATTACTGGATTAATCTATTAAGTTTTTAAATTTTATTTATAGAAAACTAAGTAAAAGTTAAAATTATATTAAAAATATTATTAATTTAAAAAAACTAAAAAATATTAAACTCAAAGCCACAAAAAATTAATGAAAAGTCGCGGATACGTATTTCAGAAACAATGTTACATAATTTTGAAATTATGTTTTCGTTATTATAATATTTCTTTTAAAACCCTGTTATAAAAGAAATAGCTAAATTTAATGGGTATAACGAAAACATAATTTCAAAATTAGTCCGAAAACAAAAGTGGAAAAAAGAAAGGACACAGCTAGTACACTCACCAGCGAGGGGGAACAAAAAGTAATTAGATCACCAATTTTATATTATCCGGGCATCTCAAATGGATTAACTAAAATATTTAAGAATTTTGGTATTACTTTGGTAACATCTAAGAGTAATAATTTAAGAGATTTATTAGGTAACCCTAAAGATAAGGTAGATGAAGGGGGGAAATTAGTCATTTATAAAATACAATGTGAAAGTTGTAATAAATGTTACGTAGGACAAACAAAAAGAAATATAGGGGTCAGGTTTAAAGAGCACTTAAGAAATATTAAAAATCAAGAAGTTGAGAAATCTCCAGTGGCTGAACATTTATTGACACATAATCACTCCATTAAAACCATAAAACTAATTAAAAACGTAAATAATTACAAAGAACTTAATATCAGAGAAGCAATAGAAATGTTTAAAAATAAAAACAATTTAATTAATTGGGATCTTGGCCCACTGAAAAATTCATTATTAAACTTGTGTAAACTGGCAAAATGTGATAATATTACTTAGTGATGACGTCACTAGGGGTATATAAGGGAGTTTTTTCTAGTCGGGGTGTCAGTATGTGTTTAGCGTTGATAATGGTAACATTGTTTCCGAAATACTTATCCGCGACTTTTCATTAATTTTTTGTGGCTTTGAGTTTAATATTTTTTATTTTTTAGTTTTTTTTAAATGAATAATATTTTTAATATAGTTTTAATTTTACTTAATTAATTAGCCATAAATGATCAATTTTTATTATATAGGAAACTAGTTTCAATAACCTGTCACAATCAACTGAACCAGCAGAAAAAGCATCTACAGATACAAGTGTAATTCCAAAGTTTGTGTACCCTCATGATATAGGGTTATATGTGAATAAACCTGCAACTGAAAGTATTGACTTAATACCGGGACTTCAAAATTTGATATGGACACCTCCAGAAGACTACAAATTTCCTGTTTCCGAAAATAGAAATTTCAAATTTCAAAGAAGTTGGTTACTCAAATATAAATGGTTGGCTTATTCAGCATTTATGAATGGCGCATTTTGTAAGTATTGTGTATTGTTTTCTATACGAAGTGGAGGAATTGGACATCAAACATTGGGGCAGCTTGTTAAAAAACCACTTACCAACTGGAAAAAAGCTTTAGAATCATTTAGTTATCATAACTCACTCGAGTATCATAAAACTTCATTATTAAAATCAAATATGAGAACAGAAATTGATAATCAAAACATTTTATCGGTTGACTTACAAATTTCGGAACAACAATTAGATTTCATTAATGAAAGTAAAAAATGTTTGATTCCTGTGATCGAAACTTTAATATTATGTGGTCGGCAGGGTTTGGCTCTTCGTGGTTCAAAAGATTCAGGAAGAGTAACTTCCGAAGAACCTATAACTAACGATGGTAATTTTCGGGCTCTTTTAAGATATCGAGCAAAAACTGATGAACAGCTTAATAATTTTTTACAAAATTCAGCAAAAAACGCAATGTACATTAGTAACCGTGTTCAAAACGAATTTATTGTCATATTTCACAATTTAATTCAAAAACAGATTATTGAACGTGTCAATGAATCTCGAGCTTTTTCTATAACAGCAGATGAAACTGCAGATATAGCCGGCATAGAACAAATTTCAATCTGTGTACGGTATTTAAATTATAAGGACAGTAATTATAAAATATGTGAAGATTTTTTAAGCTTTATCCCTGTTGAAGATGTAACAGGGAAAGGTTTATCAAATGCTATTTTGAATTTCCTAGAATATTCTGGAATAGATTGTACATATTTATTTGGACAAGGTTATGATGGGGCTAGTACTATGAGTGGTGAATTTCACGGAGTTCAATCGTATATAAAAAAAAA